GCTCGGCCCGTCACGCCGTCTTCGCCTGCGGCTCGGCCCGTCACACCGTCTTCGCCCGCGGCTCGGGTCCTCACGTCGCCTTCATCAGCGGATCGGCCCGTGACACCGGCCGCGCCACGGCCCACTATGCCGAGCTCGCCATCGGCCCGGTCTGTGATGCCGGAGTCGCCAGCTGCTTCGTCTGCTCTGCCGGTTTCGCCGGTGGGTCGGCCTTCTTCGCCAACCGAGTCCGAGGTTACCGTGACTGGCTCCTCGTCACCGGCTGACTCGTCAACGTCGCTGTCCTCCAGCCCGTTGCAGGCTGCTCCGTCGACCTCGGTGGTTCCTGTGTCCCGACCACATACACGCAGTCGCAGTGGCATTTTCAAACCTAAGGAACCTAAGGATGGTACGGTTGCTTGGTTGGCTGCTTGTTTGGCTGCTGCTGTTGCGGATCCATCTTCTGAGCCTCGCTCATATCAGGCTGCCCTGCGCATTCCACATTGGCGAGAGGCTATGGAGCAGGAGTTTCATGCTCTTCTTCGTAACAAGACATGGACTCTCGTTCCTCCACCACCACGGGTAAATGTTATTGACTCAAAATGGGTATTCAAAGTGAAGAAGCATTCGGATGGATCTATTGAGCGTTACAAAGCGTGACTTGTTGCTCGTGGTTTTCGGCAGCGTCATGGTCTTGACTATGAGGACACCTTCAGTCCTGTCGTCAAGCCTACCACTATTCGGTTTCTTCTCTCCATTGCTGTTTCTCGTGGTTGGTCACTTCGTCAACTTGATGTGCAGAATGCTTTTCTACATGGATTTTTGGAGGAAGAGGTTTATATGAAACAGCCGCCTGGTTTCTCTGATCCTGATCGTCCTGACTATATCTGTCGTCTTTCCAAAGCACTATATGGTTTGAAGCAAGCTCCTCGTGCCTGGCATGCCCGCCTTGCCTCTGCCCTTCGTGCTCATGGGTTTGTGCCGTCTACTGCTGACACTTCGTTATTTCTTCTACAGAAGCCAGAAGTCACTATGTATCTTTTGGTATATGTCGATGATATTATCCTTGTCAGCTCTTCTCAGTATGCTGCTGATGCTCTTGTCTGCTCTCTTGGTGCTGATTTTGCGGTCAAAGATCTTGGGAAGCTTCACTACTTTCTTGGAGTTGAGGTCACTTCTCGTGCTACTGGTCTTGTCCTTACGCAGAAGAAGTACTCCTTGGAGTTGTTACAGAGAGCTGGCATGCTGAAGTGCAAACCGACCACCACACCCATGTCGTCTACCGACAAGATAACAGCTGTTGATGGTGAGCTTTTGTCTCCTGCGGATGCCACAGAGTACAGGAGCATTGTTGGTGGACTTCAGTACTTGACGATCACGAGACCAGATATCTCTTATGCTGTTAACAGGGTTTGTCAGTATCTTCAGGCTCCCAGAGATACTCATTGGGCTGCTGTTAAACGCATTTTCGTTATGTTCAGTTCACCCTGACATTTGGTATGCATATTCGGCCGACTTCCTCTCGGGTCCTTTCGGCCTTCTCTGATGCAGATTGGGCTGGTAGCCCAGATGACAGGCGATCCACGGGGGGTTATGCAGTATTCTTTGGCTCTAATTTGATCGCCTGGAGTGCTCGGAAACAGGCTATTGTGTCACGTAGCAGTACTGAAGCTGAGTACAAGGCTGTGGCTAATGCTACTGCAGAGATTATTTGGGTGCAGTCTTTGCTTCAGGAGTTGGGTTTGTCTCAACCACAGCCTCCTATTCTTTGGTGTGATAACATCGGTGCTACATACCTTTCTGCAAATCCAGTATTTCATGCCCGAATGAAACACATTGAAGTTGACTATCACTTTGTACGGGAACGTGTATCACAGAAGCAACTCCAGATCAAGTTTATCTCATCTAAGGATCAACTTGCAGACATCTTCACTAAGCCTTTACCGCTGCCACAGTTTGAGGCTTGTAGGCGCAATCTTACCCTTCTCAGTTCTTTAGAAAGTGGCTAAGATTGAGGGAGGGTGTTAGACTATGTATAGCTTTTGTACCTATGTACGTATATGGTACATATTGTAACACAACCATTATATATAATGAGATAAGCCACCCCTAGAGGGTTGTGTTGGTTCCCCAAAACTTATTGTCTTACAATGAGTAACAAAAATCTTCCTTCGCAGGCCACCATATAGAGAAAGGAAGGAACCTGTAACCTGTAGGTAGAGGTGCGAGCAGTAGCCCATGCTCCCAATGTCAATGCCAGGTACTGTATGCCTTTCTTTTCTTTCATATGAACTGAATTTCTATTAAAACATTGGCAGTTCATATCAGTCTCCTACCTTGAAACAAAAAATTAAAATAGACGTCGAAGACATATTTCAGCAATCGGTACTCCACCGTAATAATAATAGCATGCACTTGCTAGCAAAATATGAACAACTCTTATTGATTTGCATTCTTATAGTTCCCCTATTCAAGATTTAAATAAATAAATATGATGGAAAACAGTATTACATGACAGGAAATAACTACAGTTCTAATCCTGGAGAGGCAGAACCCAAATTCGCTCGGTCAAATCTGGGAAGATGCAGCTCCCCGAGGGAGGTTATAGCCAAGGCAGTACTCAGTGCGCGCCGGGGTTGCGCCTGAATGCCGTCCAACTGGCGAGGAACCGCGTCGGAGTTGCGCCTTGCACCGTCCCGCCGACGAGCACGAACGCATCAAACAACCAAGTGACTCTGTGCACGGAATACATGTCAAACAATATAAACAATCAGATATGCCATCACAACAGGCGAATAAACATCTAGTAAAAACAGAACAATGTAAGATCCACACTCACCTAAAATGAACTGGGGCATGCCTATATGTGCTCCATTCAAATGCTTAACGCTACACAGATCAGGATGGCAAGGAACAAATCAGGTAGAAATCAACTCACCCACATCACCAAACAAACAAAACGCCAAAAGATGATGCATGACTACAAAACACCAAACCAATTGGCAAGAAGTAAAAAAAAGTCTTACGACAAGAGAAAAGTATTATGCATAACATTTCAAGTAAGAAACACGATAAATGGTTAAATGCACATTTCTATCTTAAATCCATCTTCCATTGGATAAGAAAAACTCATCTTCAAGATAGTAATGGTACTGAGCTAAAGAGATGGAAGCATGAAACGAATTGAAAACCAGGGAAATAGAAAATTTGATACATGCTATTGTTTTCAGTTATGTACAAAGCGTTTATCTCCCTGATGCTGGCCTTCCTGTCATGGGTGGACATTGTGGTGGTGCCGTCCACATAAACCTGCAGAAACAACGGAAGCAGAGGCTCAATATCTCTGCAATTAGTATGACACAAATTATGGAACGAAACCACAGACATGGGCACGCAGACTGACAGATGGACAAGAGTATCCTGAGGAGGCCGACCGTGCCGGCGAGGCTGCAGTTGGTCCACTTCATGAGGAAGAGGAAGATGCGCATGGCGGGGCTGTAGGACATGCGCATCTGCAGGCACGCCCTGTCGTAGTCCCTCGAGCACTCGGAAGGCCTGTGGCAGACCGCCAGAGATGAATTCACGACATGGTGAACAACACACGCTCCAAACCTGGACGAAATTGAGGAAAGGGGATTCTTTAATTTTGGGCGGTGGACTGAGGGAGTGAGGGAGGGAGAGGACTCACAGGGTGTTCGCATGCTGGATGTCAACCTCGAGCACCTTGAGCGAGTCCCTGAACGCCACCACAATCTACCTCCTACTTCAGCGCCACCTGATGCCACCGCCGCCACCGAATTAAACCCGGCCGCCAGAGCAGAGCAGGGCCGAATTAGAATGAACCCCCGCCACGCGCGCGAGAACCCTCGACAGCGACATCGACAGCGGCACTAAAAGGAGAGGCTCGCTCTCCGGCTCCCCGCTCCACTCTCTGATGAAATCATCCTGGTCAGGACATAGTAGAGTTGGAGGCTCAGGCCGGAGAGAGGGAGCGTGGCGGCGGCGGGAGAGAGACCTGAGGGAGAGAGAGAGCGCGAACCCTAGCCGGCCCCGACGCGGAGGAGGAGAGGAGGAGGGAGGCGGTGCATGAGGGCCAGCGGCATGCCGTGCTCCTCTTGCTGAGCAGCGAGAGGGCGGGGAGGAGGGGAAGGAGCGACGGCGAGTGGGCATGGTGGCGACGCCAGGGGACGGGAGGTGGCGGCGACGTGGAGAATGGGCTAGGGTTAGGGGAATGAGGAGCGGGGGGAAGTGAGGAGATGAGGAGAGGACGACGCTGTCGGCGCCCTATCGACCCCCTCTCCTGTGATGCGAAAAGACGAGAATACCCTCGATGGGGCATGAGATTTACAGGCGGTGGCACCACACAACAGTGTTTTGTTCGATCCGACGGGCGGGATCGATGCAGACGAAGATCCGACGGCCAGGATCGCTCTGGACGAAAATCCGACAGCCCCGATTAGTTTGGAAAGCTAATCCGACGGCTGAAAATCCAAACGCACGGGAGAGCTCCATTTTGGTCTGGACTCTAACAAGGGGATGGCCAAATGCGCGCCCCGCGCTCGATTGCATGGAGATCTGCAACCCACGCTGGATCCTCCTGCCACAGGACTATCCATCGATATAACCCTGTTATCTAAGCACGTACGTTCAGCAAAAGAGCCATTGACAATGGCCACTTGCATGGATTCAGTCTCTCTTTGCCCAAATCTCAAGAACCATTAAGGTTCCGGTAAGCTCACGTCTGACCGCAACCGAACGCACGTCGGCGCGGCCAGTGCACATATGCAAGCTGCAACTGAGTACCTAGCTCTTCACGTGTACAGTAGTACATTATCGTCAAACAAATTGTTTGCATTGGCAGCTGAAATCGGGAACCGCTATCGCACTACTCCGTACAAAGCCACCCACCATGAGTTCCTGACTACTTGTAATACCTAGAGGCATAGCTGAAAGGTAGAACTCCCCTAGAAGCAACCTTCCACCGAACGATTCGGCCGTGGTTGCGATAGCTAGTTGTGATCATGGGAGCATACCAGCCACTGCATCACCAGCACAGCCAGAAGCCGTCGTCGACTCACCATGGCAGAGTCGCCTTGGCCTGGCTTTTCTCCGCCGTGCTCTGCCTGGCTCTCCTCCACCTCCTCTGCTGCTCCTCGCGCGCCGCACGCGAAAATGTCGTCTTCTCGCCTCTGCTCCAGTACATCACCAGCACCTACACTAAAGGAAGAGGGTCGACTTCCAGCTGCGACTACTCGGAGGGGCAGTGGGTGCGGGCGGCGGGGCACGCCCGGCGGTACAACGGCACCGAGTGCAACGTCAAGGACAGCGAGAACTGCGTCCGCAACGGGCGCCCCGACACCGACTACCTCGACTGGCGGTGGCAGCCGGCGGCGCCCGGGTGCCAGCTCCCGGGCTTCGACGCCGCGGCGTTCCTCGGCGCCGTCCGCGGCGAGCACGTGGCCTTCGTCGGCGATTCCATGGCGCGGAACCAGGCCGAGTCGCTGGTCTGCCTCCTGGGCGCGTCCTTCCCGTACCACCTGGTGTACCGCGACCCGCAGCCCGGGACGCGTAAGTTCTGGCGCTGGGCGTTCCCCACCCACAACGTCACGGTGTCCGTCTACTGGGCGCCCTTCCTGGCGCGGGCCACGGGCAGGTGCGACAACTACAGCCTGCCCTACAACTCGGTGCACCTCGACGCGCTCGCTGACCGCTGGTCCGCCGACGCCGGCACCATGGACGTGGCCGTGGTCAGCGCCGGCCACTGGTTCTGGAAGCCGACCGTCTACTACAACGGCAGCGACGTGCTCGGCACGCACCTCCTCCCCGAGCTCAACCACACCGGGATCGGCTTCCTCTCGCCGTACCGGGAGGCCATCCGGGCGTCCATACGGCGCCTCGCCTCGGCCGGCCGCGCGCGCGCCGTGGTCGTGGCCACCTTCTCGCCGGCGCACTTCGAGAAGGCGTGGGACGACCCCACCACGTGCGCCAGGAAGCTGCCGTACACGGAGGGGGAGAGGGAGGTGGACGCCACGCACGCCCAGCTTTGAAGCATCATCAGAGAAGAGACGACCGCCGCAGCGGCGGCCAGGGACGGCGGGGCGACCAGGGTCGAGGTGCTGGACGTGACCAAGCTAGCGACGATGCGGCCCGACGGGCACCCCGGCGTGTACATGAATCGCGACCCCTTCGCACGCGGCGTGCCCGAGCGGCTGCTGAGCGACTGCCTCCACTTCTGCCTCCCGGGACCGGTGGACACCTTCAACGAGATTCTGCTCCGGCTCCTCGCCGTGAAGCGCGAGTGAGACACTCAAAATCAACTGATGAGGTATTGCTTACTTACACATGCATGGCGTGCATGAGTGTAAAAAAGGTGTCAATCAAGAAATATACACATGGCATGCATGCTACCTGATTGGGATGGTGGACGAAACTAGTTTGGAAACCATGTCGTCCAGCTCTTCTCACTTTTTTCTTAAGGTACGCTGATGACATACCTTAACTTTATAGAAGGGAGAAAATATGTACAAGAGATTACATGTCGCTAGTTAGGAGTCACAAACCGATCCTAACCAAGCCTCCACACCACTCCCTAGCTCTACGCGACTACTCTATGACTGGTTGTCCTCCAAAAGCTCCTGTGTTGGCCCAAGTCCGCAGCTCATCAAATATTGAGTCTACCGTATTCCACTCGTTCTTGATCGTGCCCTTGTCGAAGATCCTCGCATTCCTTTGCTTCCATATCGTCCAACAGATTAGCATCATGAAAGTGTCAAATCCTTTCCAAGACTGCTTATCTATTCGCTTTCTCGTATCCGTCCACCACTGCACCAATCTTGAGTCGTTGGTTGGGCAAAGGTCGGCCGTCAACCCCATCCTAGTAATGCAGCGGTACCACACTTGCCGCGAGAACACGCACTGCAGCAAAATGTGGTCAACTGTATCCTCCTCGTGGTCACACATGTAACATGTTGATGCTTGGTCTTGCAATCCGTGCCTAGCTCTCCTGTCCGATGTCCAAAGACGATATTGCACCGCGAGCCACATGAATAACTTGGACGCAAGCGGTGCCCAACCCTTCCATATTGCTTCGAAGCAATGGAATCTGACTCCTCCCTCGCATAACATCTTGTACGCAGATGATGCAGTCTAGACTCCAGACGCGTTCCAAGCCCAGATTGGGCAGTCCTCGACCTGAGCGTCCAAATGGACTTCCAACAGTATCTCCCAAAGTCCGATGAACTGGGCGAGGCCCTCAGTGCATAGCTCTCCCACGACATCATCCATCCATGAATGCATGCACATCGCATCTCTCACAAGTCTTGTTTTCCACTTCTGTTTGTACCTTTGCCATGACTAAGGGTGCAAAATCTTTAATAGCTGCTTCATGTATCCATCGGTCTTTCCAGAACAAGGTCTTGCCTCCTGAACCAACTTTCCATTTGACTAAGCTCCCAAAGGCTTGGTCCACCTTTTTGTCCGCGGTCAAGTCGAGGCCTTGCCACAGTCTGGAATCATTAGTGCACCGTAGCCATTCCCATCTGAGTCTTAAGGCGATGTCGTGCTTAGACAGGTCAATAACACCCAAACCTCCCAATTGCTTAAGCCTGCACACCCTAGTCCAGGAGACGACACATTTGCCTCCATTCACTGCCTCGGTTCCGGCCCAGAAGAATGCCCGACAACCCTTGTCAACTCTCTCCAGAGCCCATTTAGGTGCCTCCGCTATCATGAGGTGGTGCGTAGCGCGCGCCCTCATTACTTGATTGACAAGAATGAGCCTCCCGGGCCTCATCACGAGACCCTTTTGCCATCCTGGCAGGATGTGGAGAGCCATGTCAACAATCGGCTGCCACTCTGATCTTTTCAATTGCCTGATGCTAAGCTGGAGCCCAAGGTATTTGCATGGAAAGGTGTCGATTCTCCATGGCAGCGCAGACTTAACAAGCTCTTCATCCTCATTTTATGCTCTGATCAAGATTGCCGCATATTTGGAATAGTTTACTTTGAGCCCCGATGCCACTCCGAATATAGCAAGGATTTCTTTAATGAACATGAGGTCTGGCCATGTTAGTTTTATGAAGAGCACCACATCATTAGCATACAGGGACAATAGCTGCATTGGACTACAGCCATTAATGGTACTAAGCACTCGTGCCTCATGCGCCTTGGAGATGATTGCCGTGAGCATGTCCATGGAAATAACAAAAAGCAAGGGAGATATCGAGTCCCCTTGCCTTAGTCCTTTAGCGTGCATGAACTTGTCACCTGCACATCCATTCACTAGAACCCTCGAGCTGGCAGTGGTGAGGAAGATCGCGATCCAAGAGATCCAACGCTCCGAGAAGCCCTTGGCTCTTAACACCTCAAACAGAAACGGTCACGCCAGCGAATCAAAAGCTTTTGTTATGTCAAGCTTGAGCATCACTCCCTTGGCTTTCCTCCTATGCATCGTGCGCGCCATTTGCCAAACCAAGAGAAAGTTATCATGCAAGCATATGCCCTTAATGAATGCAGACTGGTTCGTCTGTACACGCTCTCCCATGCGTGGTCTTAGCCTGGCAGTCAGCAGCTTGGAAGCTATCTTGGGCATACTATGCACAAGGCAAATAGGTCGGAAGTCGAATATCGTGCATGCATCCGGTGTCTTCGGTATCAGAGTGATCAAAGCTTGATTAAGCCTTCCAAATCCCCTTCCATTGCCAAGGAAAAACTTGTGAATTGCAGCAACTAGATCCACCTTGATAATCTCCCATGCTTTTGGAAAGAAAATGCCAATGAACCTGTCCGGCCCAGGTGCTTTGTCCGAAGGCAAATCCTTGATAACTGCCCAGATCTCATCTTCCAAGAACACGCGGTCGTGGTCCGAAAGATCAATGGCCGTGACACCAAGCCCCTCCAAATCCAGAGTGAAATCACGGGCTCCATCCTTGCCTAGCAGATCCTTGTAAGCTTTGTAGAAGGCGTCCTCCTTGCCTTTCTGATCTGTGATGATGCACCCATCCATGGTCAAGGAAGGAATGTAGTTTTCCATACGTCTCCCATTCGCTACCAGGTGGAACAACTGCGTGTTAGCGTCCCCATCTTGAAGCCATGTAATTCTTGACCTCTGTCACGCAATAGTCCTCTTTAGGGATCCCAGCCCTAGTACAAGCTGTTTTAGGGTTCATCTAAGCCATCTCTCCTCCTCAGTCAGGATATGGCTCTCCTGAGCGCAATCAAACCGCGGGATGACAATGTTCGCAATAGCAATTTGCAGCTTTATGTTCCCGATCTCCTTTTGCCCCCAAGTAGCAAGCGCTCAGGCTGTGTTTCATAGCATGATGTCTAAGCGCATGAACGGGTCGGTGTTATCCGGATCGCAGACCCAGGCCTCCTTGACTACATCCAAAAACCCATCCATTTTGACCCAGAACTTTTCAAAACGGAACCTCCTTCTGGCATGCATGTGCTCCTCAAGTGCAAGATGGAGTGGGCAGTGATCGGAGTGCTCGGTTGATAGAGCTTGCAGCAAGCACTCGGGTGATCTAGCTCCCAATCAACGGAAACAAAAGCACGGTCAATCTTTGTGAGCGTGGGCGTCTCCCTTTCATTGCTCCACGTGAATTTGCGTCCATGCAAGAAGAGCTCCTTGAGCGCGTTATCCTCCACAAAGTGTTTGAACTTCCCCATCATTCTCTTGTCCAAGTTAGAGTTGTTTTTGTCTGCTGCATAAAGGATGAGGTTGAAATCTCCCAAGACTAGGCATGGCCCTGGACATAGTGATCTACGCTCTGAGAGCTCATTAAGGAAGTTAATTTTGCGCTCATCTTCCTGAGGCCCATAAACTATTGCGAGCCACCATGGCTCTCCCTCCTTGGGCGAGACGTACGCCGAAATGCTATGAGAGTCGTTGATATAGTTTGACAAGAGGACCCGTGTGGTGTCCCATGCCACAAAGATACCGCCTCTAGTGTCCGACGCCGGTAAGTAAGTGAAACCACCATAGTTCGGTCCCATGCATTGCAAGATTACAAAAGTTTCCACCACCTCAAGTTTAGTTTCTAGGATACAAACAATCGCCGCACGAGTAGAATCCACAAAACCCCCAAGCGCCTTCCTTTTGGCCGGATTGTTAAGGCCTCTAACGTTCCAACACACTAATTCCAACGCGTTGAACGACATCGGAACAAGATGCCTCCAACACCACCGGCACCCACGTGCCTACTGCGCCAAGATCGGTTCAGCCGTCCCTGCCTCCTCCGCGAGGTTGACTGGTATCGCCTTCCCGAAGATAGCCGCGATGGCCCTCAACTGCGGCTCCGGGAGTGGTGAGTCGAAACTGTACGGAGCTGACCTAGCGCATCTTCCGAGACCGCCAGATCATCATAGTCCAGGCCCAGGGTTCTAAGCAGCACCGTTTCAGCTGGAGAGGCCTTCGTCTTCCTAGAGCTACTTGCACAAACGGATAGAGTTGTGCTCTTATCACTTTTGTTTTCATATTTTCACAACAAATATGAATGTGATACGAATGTTATCGGATAAATATGATGTAATACAAATGTTATCACAGACAAATGCTGATAAAATATTAGCCGATACCGATATGTATAAGAATATGTATCGGATATTTACTTTGATTCGGAATGGACATGGATAATAGCGACATATATATTAGTCAAAGAGCATTAATAGCTATGCAACACAATTGTTTTTTTTTTCTTTTTGACAAACATCATCCTCCTTTATTCAATCGCGACAAAGAGTTATGTCGCTAACAATCAAAGGTCTCATCAGGAGGTGATTCCAACCAAATACTCGAAGGAGGGCATCTAGCTATTCTAGCCTTTTCCAAAAAAATCCTTTTTAAAGAAAAACTTTTGATCTATTCATCAACTGACAAGGTAATACAAAGATGAGGTAGACTGATGATGACACCGGCGGGAGGCAAGAGAAACCCTAGCACACTGGGTGTAGGAAGTGACCGCTGTTGTATGCCCAGATGTGTGTTATTCTAGCCAATTCATGAGCCACTGAATTGTTCTCTCTATTACAATGCCCATAAATATCA